GTTAATAAATTATATTTCAAAAGTAGGATATTCTTCACTAAATTGTTAGGAATTAATCACACTATCATTCACGTTTCAAAATGTGACGTAACTTAAAGAATAAAAATGTAGATTTACCGTATGTTATTGTTGAGCTGCTCTTAGCATTACTGAAATGCTCAACAATTACTTTTCGCGGTGGGCGGTATAAGTAGCTAAGAGGTTTGGTTGTGACTGAAACCAAGAGTGCAACACAATTAACCTTTTTAAAGTCCATGAAATAATTTAATTTGATAGATTAACGTAAACTTTTCCCGTCACTGGGGACGGGTACTTTTGCTTGTATTTAGATAATCCAAAATTTGATATTGTACGACAACAATATTTTATGTTTGAATTATCTAAATTTTAACATTATATGACCTTAGTGTTTGTGAACGTGTTTGTTTATTTGTTCAGAATATAATATAAACGCTGGTCGGCTTGGCAATGTAGTTTTTTCAGCCAACTAAGGTAGACTTTGTGGAAGTTTTTGTCAAATTTACATGATTTTTAGAACAAATACACTTCAGAAGCTCAGAATTTATTTGATTTACCCCCGTCTTTGCTGACAAAAACTCGCAATGTGTTGTTTCTGTAAATAAAAAGTATTGTAGATTCCTTTCTATCTCGTTCCTTAAATGGAACTGTACCTCAGTTTTGTAAAAACAATATCTTTTGCTTTTTGTACACAATCAGTTTACTTCATTCACCTGACCATTTGCAAACCCTTTGTGAAACGGTATCTGTTCTACGTTATTGTCTTTGTAACATACTTGCAAAGGTATCCAGCAGCTCTGAGCTAAAAAAAAAATGTTGTAATGGAGATGTGGTCCGTCCTCTTCTACTATTTTGAGCCATAGCTAACGAACCATTCGTCCGATACAAAGGTTTCCGGTACATCTGGGCTTAAAAAATAATGCTGTAAACAGAGATGTGGTCCGTTATTTTCTTTTATTTTGAGCCGTAGTTGATCAACCGTTCGTTTAATGCAAATGTACCCGTACTAAGTGTCGATTTCACGAATTTTGTTACCGTTCTCGCTCAACTGAGCCATCATTCACTGAATTAAGGAGGTGAAAACGATATAGCTATCAAATTAGAGCTGTTCGTCCGAATAGTAATGTATTTAATCTCGATGTTCGGCAGTCTTTTGCCAAATTTCATCAAAACAGGTTCAACTAACTCCTCACAAGAACTTCTGACACTAAAGGACAACTCAGCTTTTTATACATATAAAGTTTCACTAGATCATCATGACTAAGGACTAGTTGGCAACAAACGTTGATTTGTGAGTTTTGTCAGACATGAAGCTAGGAATGATATTTGCATATATTTCGAGAATTTATAATATTGATATTTTAAACTTAACGGCACCTCATGCGACACATGAGCTAAAGAGCCAGGTAAGGGAACTCAAGATTCGTGCATAGCCGTCCCTAATTTTGAACTTTTAACCAGAAAAAAGGCAACCAGTTGGAAGCACTCGTCACCTACACGATTACTCTTAATCGAAAAGTGGTACTGACTGTCACTCGTATGACGTGTCCACAGCTCAAAATGCAAAGAGTATTGCGTCGTATATCGCGGGCTCTAATTTTGGGCATTCTACTCTGCAGCTCGAGCATTCAAGAATACCAAAATGTGGTCAATGATAGTCAAAAAGTGATTTGTGTGTCCACTGGCGAATCCAAACAACCCCCTTCCCCACTCCGCTGGACTTTCAAATTGAAAAGAAAGCAAATATTTTTCCAAAGGTTTCATGAATTGATGGAAGAATAACCTCTCTATCATCAAAAATGCTGTATCCGACCCTGACTTGTACATATTTATATGCCATTTCTTTCTTTCTATACGTATATACACACAATTATGGGTGTACTAAATTCGGTTATATACACAGCATTATGGTTGTACTAAATTTCGTTATACCTATTTACATAAAGTAATGGCGTATGTGCGTTCAAGTGTCGAACATCATTAAACAATCTGGCATATCAGTAATGATGTTTTTAATACTCAAAAGGGCTACATCTAAAATAACTGAAAAACATGCATGTTTTTACAAACACAAAAGCAAAATACAAGCGATCAGTCGATTTTCAAGGCTTCTTCTTTTGTAATAGTTCGTTATCATTTTATCGCCTCCGTCAATCAACCCTCAAGTAATTTAATAGTTTGTTTAACAACATTGACACCTCCGATCTTCAGATAAATTTTCCCAAACAAGAGAGCTTGAGAGAAAACAATTTCCAGATTTTTGAGGTCGTGATAGAAAATAATTAACTTGTTTAGTGTAGCAAGAGAATTATCTAAACTCACTAAAGGGATGGAAGAGTGACGTCAAGTTGAGGTGCGGAGGACAGTACGAGTAAGCTGATTTGATTTAGTGACATACGCTATACAACTAGAAACGCGGGAAGTCTTTTATATTTGCTTCATTTATTTTCTTAAAATAGGCATGGTAATGCGCCGTTAAACGGTCTTACAGTAAATAAGGTTTCGAAATACCTGCACTGTGTATGCTCTTTTATATATCTCCTGGTTCCTCTGTCACGCAGTCTTTCAGAAACTTAAGAACGATCCTGAAAATTAACTAATCACGGTGCGAGAAAGATAGGTGGATTTTTGAGCATTTCAAGGAATTTTGTTTGTACTTTTGAGGGATAAGTGGTTTGACACTACTTATTAATTCTGTTATTATCATAGATTGGAACGATCAAGACGTGGATGAAAAGATGCCCTTTGTCGACGATGAACTTTTCTGGTGCGCGGACGTCGACGGAAAAATAGTAGACTTGTCTTGTTTGGTAAAGTAGATATGCCTTATTTCAATTATTTTTTTTAGTTTCACTAATAATATTCGATTTTACATCGACTTATCTTACTACTAGAAATAAACGACTTTATAACACCAAAATGTTGTTTTTATTTAATTATACACTCAACGTTTCGTTTTACAACTTCTTCAGGAATGTTTCCTGAAACAGTGTTTTAGTGAACTGAAGAAGTTGTAAAGGGAAACGTTGAGTGTATAATTAAATAAAAACAATGTTTTGGTGTTATAAGGTCGTTTATTTCTAATATTAATACGTCTTATACACATCAATACGCATTACAGAAATTAAATAATCAACTTATCTTGTAAAGTTCGACAATTTAATGTATTCTTTCTTAAAATTTCATCATTTGTTAAAACTAATGGTCAATATAAAACAGTATAGTAATGGAACTCATATAGTTTCACTGTCGATAATTCAGTTATTGTTGTCGACTGATGGTTGATATGCTACATATACTATATGGATTAGTTTATTATTGGTGTCCAATATTATTGTCCGATATAGAGGCTGGCGTATTTCATTTGTTCAAAATATCTTTATTCATTGTTGATAATACGATATTGTTGTCCAATAATGATTGACATGCCTCATCTTTCAGATGTGCCTATTTATTGTTAACTAGCTGAGTTAACTGGCGTTGCACGGTGAAAATTTAGATTTGAAATGTATAGATCAGTATTTTTTTAGCAAATTATTCAGTAAGTA